CTCCTCCTCCTCCTCCTCCTCCTCCTCCTCCTCCTCCTCCTCCTCCTCCTCCTCCTCCTCCTCCTCCTCCTCCTCTTCTTCTTCGTTAAACTAACGCGTTTTGTAACGCGTAATGATACTTTTTACGGATCGGAAACAATAATGGCTCGCTCGTTTAATAATGCTCGTAACAACTTTGTTCCCGCGGGTGGTGACGAGAGACTATCGCCCATATTGCTTAACATTAAAGCTTCGCCAATCTGTAAATTCGAATGGCTTTACGAGAATATGCATAAAGCAACAAATGTTTGTTTTTGGCGCAATCGAAGCCGCGATAATTAATTCAATTTGCAAAACGCTCAACCGCAACGATCCGCAAAGCAAGGTGGGAAGAACATTTGCAGCGATAATTGGCGAGCGAGGATTTTAACCAATAGCCCGTGAATCATTCCGTGGCCAATCGAACACGAGTTGTCTGCGATTTGCCCCCGATTTGCCCCGGCAGGAGCGCACACGTTGCGCTTTAGTTACACCGGGCACTTTAAAGAAAGATAAGGAGCCGTAAAATAAGGCGCACTAGGCGGCTACAGTCGAAGTGCAACTAGCGCAACTCGTTTGAATTCAGACGTCAAATGCGTCGATCTTTCGTCGATCGGATTTCGGAATTCGTTGGTGAAACTGTCGAAACTGTCGAATGGCAGTTAAGTAGCGCGATGTTGAAGTTCCACACGCGCTCGCCCCTTCCCTGTGCTCGACAATACGAAGAAAGTTCGCGAGCCGTGTAGTGCTTGCGGCTTGTCACTCGACTACTATTTCCATTTGACTAATGAGCGCGCATTTTCAACAATGTCGATCCGAGAACGGATTGTCGCTCTTTAACATCTGAATTAATAATACATGACGTTGGACTAATTTGTAAATAAGTTGTAAATAATGTTCGAGCGTAGGGTATCGATTCTTGGGGAGTGTTGGAGTGACGGGATAAGGATGATAGAGAAGGATGTAGGGACGGACAGTGGGGGATAATGAAGGACCCTCGGTGTTTTAAAATAAACAATATCTTTATATACATATACAGTCATTTAGTAGAAAATACAATTACAATCCATTTGCTATATATACAATAAGGGAGCGCAGTGAAACAGAGAGTGCGCGCGATATACTTTTGTTCTTTAAAAGAATCTTATTTTAGAAAAGGGGAATCGTCCTCCAGGCTTCGGCTGGCTATATAATATTACACCGCCTCGGCATAAATTATATATTTGATGGATGCCGTAAGTGCATACAAGAGGTATAATATTATTGTTTTATCGAAGAATGTAAGAAGAAATCCCCTTATTTGTATGACCTCACCAGTGCTAGTTTACAACGGAGCGAGGATTATAAAATATTATACATCTTAGTGATATTTCGTTACATAGAGTACGGGCATTTGCCGTTGCGATGCGTTTAAAAATAAAATTGATTGTAGTATGGTGACAAACAACTTTTGTATAGACCGTCAAAGTTTATTGTTGTGTTAAATGAATTGTCTGGGCGCTCGGTGCTTGGTGCTTAAATACAGTCAAAGTTGAGGAAATTTAAACTTGTTGAAGGTAATTCGACGCAGACTTTACGAAACATTTACGTAGTAAAAAAATTTCATTCCTCTTTATCGGCATAGAGTACGCTCTTTAACAGCTTAATGCGACAAAGAATGAATTTTTATAGAAAAACACTTACATTCGGTATATAATATATAATTATTACGTATATAATTATATCGAGCGATGAAAATGTTTTTAACTGACTCGTTCGTCGAGACAAATATTTGCTTAAAATTATTATAAAAAATGTGACGTTGTCCGTGAATTGACATAGTTTCGGAAATATCTGCGATTCGAAAGTATTGTAAAAATATCGAGCTCCGGAATATTTTAAACAAATCGCTAGTTACACAGGAATATCGATCTATTTTCTTTAATAATTAATGAAGCCGCGGTAACGAGGATATCTTTAGACGATTAATTATTGTTTTAAACAAGGTTATCAGATATTATCTTTTTTCTCGCACGCTTTTTCGAAATTTTGCCGGAAAAACAAAAATTTAGAGAAATTCGAAGCTTTTTGCTAGAAAAAAAAAGTAAAAAAAAAAAAAAAAAATAAGAAAAAAAAAGAAGCAAAAAAAAAAACAACAACGAAAAAAAAAAAAAAAAACTAAACAAAAAACGATACAAAAAATATAAAAGAGAAAATCGATTATAATGTCAGAGTTTCGATAGGTGTGCGAGAATGAAAATTATAGTTTCGATAATAAGCTTTGTGATTTATCGATCATTAACTAACAATTTAATCTGTAATAAATACAATTTGCGTCGTTTTGGCGTTTCTCTCTCATTTCATTCATTTATTCTCTTTTCGCCATTTTTTTTTGTCGTCTTTTCAAAACGCACTTTAAATAATCGAATTTTTACTTAAATAATGTTTGAATTATTTTATTTGCAATGAAAAAAGACAGTACATTATCAAATTAAACGACCATATTCCTTCTTTTGGAGTATCGTAAAAATGTTAAATAGGTAGAATAAAAAATTATTACGTTTATGAGGTCATTAAATTTAAATTAAATTTAATAATTTACTGGTCCTTGTTATTTAAAATCTAATTAAAATGATATAAAAGGGGTAAATTAAAAGGGAAAGGGAGAATCAGAGATAGAGATAGAGAGATAGAGATAGAGAGAGAGAGAGAGTGAGTGAGTGAGAGTGAGTGATGTCGAGAGAGAGGGGGGTTGATTATCAGTATCTCATTACAAAACACTACTTCAAGCTTTAAGAGCTCAGCTCTGGCAATGCAGTAGTGTATCACTGGTTAACTCTGCGCTACACTCGACGGCGACTATTCGTCTCTCTATGGCCCTGGTTATGGCCTTGAAAGGATTCAAGCCTCAAGCGTCTTTGGATAAGAGGCAGAGCAGAGAGAAGTTGACAGTCTAGCCAACGCCCCAAGACTTCTCTCTATCCCTCTATCTCCCTCTATCTCTCTGCTTTTCTGTCTCTGTCTCTCTCTCTCTCTCTCTCTCTCTCTCTCTGCTTTTCTGTCTCTCTTTTACTCCGTCTCTCTCCGTATATATATATATATATATCTGTCTCTCTCTCTCTGTCTCTCTCTCTCTCTCTCCTCTCTCTCTCTCTCGCAATTTTTTTCTTCATATACACAATAACGATCAGCTACTTCGTACAATTATTATCCTACTCTACAATTCCACAGACAAGGCCGAAAGAAAGTAATTGCGTATCTCCAATGCGAGAAGTAATCAAAATACATACATATTAGTGATATCAGATATCAGTGATATAGAGATTAGTGATATATTATGAAATCGCCGATTACACTCTGCTTTCGCGAAAGAATTTATTGCGTCGAGCGATTGTTATCGGGCTTTGTGCTAAATTCGTCACAACAAAGTTATTTCATGTCAATTATGATGAAAGATTAAAGTATTGTTGTCACTTATAAACGTTAATATTAAAAATCATGAATAAACAGCGAGCATAATAATATGGTTCGTCGAAGCTCTGATTAAATAAACGTGATCTACGACGCAGATATAATAATTTTGTTTTGCCAGAGTATTAAAGATAATCGTAGAATTATCGAGCACGAGCGTAGAATCTCAATATTCCATGAACTTCGCATAAAAGGTAATTTACGCGCGATGATAGTTGAAACGAGTAGAAATCGTACAGACCGTTAAGATAAGACCGTGGACCATTACTTTTTATTTAACCAAAGAGTGACAGAGAGACAGAGAGACATACAGAGAGAGAGAGAGAGAGAGAGAGAGAGAGAGACGAGCGATTCGTGCATCTAATTAACTATTAACATTATTTATTAATGGTGTCGAATATTTATCTCCTATACCAGCCGCTTCAGTCGGTTTAGTCGGTCACGCGTATCATCAATTCTTTTATCTAGGCTAATGTCCAGTGATTGCATTAGAAAAATATCTATTTAAAAATTAATCACCCATTACAATTGGCTCTTACTTCTATGTCGTCATAATCATTAACTCAGTAGTCGCTTAACCTTAGTAATTTCTTTATTTACGATCTAAAAGCGCGACATCATGCCGCTCAAAATCGAGCAACGCATCCTTATTTCTAGCACGAGCAGTGCCCAGATTTTTTGCGACTAAACGTACATGCAAACAGCCGAGCTGCGCCTGCCACAGCAACGGCAGACGCCCCGCTCACATCTGTCTATATATATCGCGACAGTCGTGCCGAGACGAATCGGCCCATCCTTAAAACTATAATCCTTGCATCGCATGGTGTTAATGAAAGAGGCTTTCAGCCCGTGCCGCTATTGCCAAACAAAAACAAACAAATAAGACAATGATTAAAAAAGAAAAAAAAAAAAAAAAAAAAAAAAGGAAAAAAAAAAAAAAAAAAAAAAAAAAAAGAAAAGGAAAAAGAAAGGAGAAACGAGAATACGTAAATCTCGAGTTCCCCGGCCGAATAAGGCATTCGCTATCAAGGAGATTAATTTATCGTCTATCGGAATCGCTTACGTCCAATCGCTTCATTAGCTCGCGCGAGCTCTCTCCTCTTATCGACCTTAAACTACATTCACTTACCCCTCCCCATACAACATTCTGCCTGCTTGGACGGCACTTAACCTTGGCACCCTGAATACGGCCTCAATATTTATACGAAATATCCCTACACCTAAGTAGATAGGATCGAGCTCGATAAGCTAGGCCGACTGTCGTCCAGGTGTTCAGCTGGCTGGGAGTCCGTTGCTCTCGTAGTTCGTTGCTCACTCACGGCCCAACCAACGGAGGAGACGAAGCCGACGGAACTCGTCCCCGTCGGCTTCATCCCCTGGCTTCTGATGATGCGAAGAGGAAGAATGGCTGAACATACCATCGACGTTCATCGTCGTAGAGACGATAGCCGACCGCATCAGCTGCCTGACGAGATGGACCAAGGAGCATGGGGGGCGGAGAGGGGGCCATCGCTTCAGGCCTCCTCTTCGTCTCATATGTGGGTGCCCCAGATGGTCGCCCATTTGGCCTTGTCGACGGAGGCAAGGTACGTGCCGTGGGGGTACCAGGAGACAGCCGTCACCGCTTCCCTGTGGAAAAAATTCACAGCCGTCCTGTGATTCAGAGAGGAGGGCAGTTACAGGACTGCAGTCTTTCATCATCGTGGGCTCTTTGGGCGCTCGTTTGGGACTTTCGCTCATCTGGGCCGAGTGGGCGGTGAGGGTCGGGGTGCGTGTGTGGGGGGTGTGTGTGTGGGGGGTGCGTGTGTGGGGTGTGTGTGTGGGGTGTTTGTGTGTGGGAGGGGGCGGTGGTGGTATTAGTTAGGTTAGGGTTACAGCAAGTCGTCGCGTAGCTTCGTTTTTTCACTTTCTTCTTCTTGTCTTTTTATCTTTTATTTTTCTTATAATTTTACCTTTCATTTCTATTCTTTTCATTTCATTTTCCGGACGGCCACGCCGACGGCGCACGTGCGCGAACAAATGTCGATGTTAGCTTGCGTTAACGATTAATACCGAGCGGCTTTCGCGGCATTATTATTCTTATTGCTACGGCATTACTTATCGCGCTCTCGTGTGACCCGTGACCCGCGCGACCACCGAACTTCTGTTATTGATTCGCATGCGCACCGCTGAGAAAACAGTTTGCTATTTGGGCCGAAAAAGCCGGTTGGAATAACTATTTGTTCGCGCACGGCCTTTACCCGAGCCAATTACCGCGTTAACTCGATTCGTCATTCGCTCATCCGATGGGATAAATTTCTCTTTACAAGGCCAAGTATTTCAAGTCCAAAGTTATTGCAATGTGGGTTGCTTAGGGTGAGCTTACTTGGGTAAGCTTATTTTTAACTTATTTTGCTCTTCGCCTAATGCAAAAGCCTGCTTTTGCGGGCAAAATTTTTTATGCATCGACGAATTACAATTTCTCCGGCAAAACAACTTCCATTTGGCTTAGTACGAGAAAGATAATGTATTAATGCACGGGAGCCAATTTAATAATCCGCTTAACATCCATATTGTCATAATTTATTGAGAAAATACTTAATTAAGTGGCACGACGCGGAATGATGATTTTTAGGACAATAGTAGTCCAAGTACCTAAAGCGAGGATAATCAATAGTTTGCTGATTTATGAACATTTTTCGTACTATCGTGTATGAGATAATACGACAAGTGTATGAGCCTTTACTGTTTGCGTGACGAGGAAAAAGGGGGAAATAATTATGTAAATATTAGATGAAAAATTTTCGCTCTTCAATTCCAAATCGATTAATTAGTGTAATTCCTATTGAGGACTCGAGTGCTAACAATCAGATAAATTCACCTCCCATCTGTTTCAAGCACAATAAGTTATTCCATGATAATGGCGTAGAGTTAATTAAAAGTTAGCTCAATGTATTGCGTAATTTACAATGCTATCGTAATCTGATACACTTTTCATATTTAAGACATACTCTGTTGGCTAAAAAATTCAATGTATTAAAGGTTAATGCGCACAGCGGAGATTAAGACATAATGAAATTAAAAGATGATTCGTTGAACTTTTGCGTTTATCGATATTGCATAATGATAATATCAATGTGGAAAAATGGTGAGAGTAGGTCAATAACGTACAAATTCCCAAGAGATTAAGAATAATAGGAAGAAGACTCTGCTCATTTTAATCTGTGATTTATAACTTGATAGGCCAGAATTCCGCGTCCCCCGGAATCAGCTTTCCGGAAACCGCGAATAAGCTCGGATAAATTTTTCTCTTTCTCTCTCACTCTCTCTACCACGCTTTATTATTATTAGCCAATAGACCTGTTTCCTTCAAAATCGTTAAATTAACGCTAATGAATGATAATTATCGTATGTCTATATTAAGAAATACATTTACATTATTTGAGCAGTCATTGAAGTATTTTGAGTTCTTTTTTTTAAAAATTTTTACAAATTTTTTAATAAAATTCCTAAAATTCCTCAACTTAATTTACCGAGCTCATAATAATTACAAGGAAAAAGCACCTTTATTATTATTATTATTATTATTATTATTATTATTTTTTTTTTATCTAGATTTGTTATTTACTATACGATAAATTACCATCCTTCCTCTCATATAAATTATAACTTAATTAATTTTAAATAATCTTAACGTAATTAATTATATCAATGGGGTATTTTAAATGCTGACTATAGTAAGTGCGGGCTCACTACTTTAAATGCGGCACACTTTTATACGGCACGGAATAATCGCAAATTATTACAGTTATTATATAAATATATCATTTATCGAGGAAAAGCACATAAGGTTTTCAAATTTTATTAATAGTAGTTTATTAGGAAAGCCAGATTACGCTACACGCGTTGGCATTACATTAATAAAATTATGATATTGTCTAATGGAATTAAGAAATAATTATCATTAATGATAAATCATAAATAATTTATAAATGCGCTTATAATTAAGCTTAAGATGATAAAAAGACAAAGAAGGAGAAAAGAGTGAGAAAAAACAAAAGAAAAAGAATGAAAGGAAAGGAAAGACCGTACGGAGTTAAAAGAAAATGAAATAAAAGTATCCGACTAGTTTATTAAAATTTATGTAGTACGAATGTAATGCCGCGAACGATAATTATTTCAAGTTGATGATTATCGTGCAAATAACGTTATCGCTTATTATAATGATATACAATATATACAGTTTGAGCGAGATTTTCTAGCAAAATCCTGTAATCTTTAATTAATAACTTAATAAGAAAGTCAAACAATAATGTTTAATATTATATTTAGGTTAGGAAAGCGACGTAACCTATACGAATATATGAATAGCCGATGACGAGATCATTAGATTGGTTTTCAAATAATTTAACGGCCATTGAACTCGATGAATAGAGGTCGACTTAATTCCCATGACATTATGTCTTTATCATCGCCGACTGAAGCGTCGAAATCTTATTTTGTTATCATTTGTGTATCTATTATAACGTAGATTGTGTATGGTATAATCGAGAGACGAGGCACACCCACTGAGATTATTTCGCAGCCGCCCAACACAATTTTCTTCACACTAGCCACGATTCGTCCATCTTCGTAATTAATTGCGAACACTAAAGCGTGTGCAACTGTAACGATACGTCGAACGAATTTCTCCTATTCATCACAAAAAACAACTGGCTCGATACAACACTGATTTATACGTGTGTGAAAAGTCTGTAACGTCCATTCAGTCGAGCGTATAGCGCCTAACATCGACCAAACTTTTGAATGCGTTAGTGAGTATGAAGTTTTTCAGAATGAAATGATGTATTATCTGAACATTGTTATATTTAAAATGCATTCCGTATTAATTACATCCTGCTTCGGCTATGATAAGACTATTGAATTTTAAATTTGAGAACTAGTGGATATTTCGGCACAATGGAATACAATAAATGTGATATCGTATGCTATTTAGCGTACAATTACATCAGGTCGTGTGAAATGGCTCGGTAAACAATGTAATGCGGCGGGGAGAATCGCTTCTCGCATTTACCTAACGCGTTACCGCTCGCTCAGTAAAATCAATAAGACGTTGCGAGCGAGTAATCGAAGCTCCGTCGCCGCAACTGAAGAAATAAAGCTCCGGCGTATGTTAAAAGCCGGGCGTCGTGAGTAAAAGCTTGGGCGCAGACAAAGGAGAAAGAGAGCAAGTAATTCATTAGAGAGTCGAACGATTTCGGCCACTACCAATACCGATAATCTATAACCCCATAAGCATAGTCATCACGAGGTAATTTGTTCCTCCTATTGATTTACAATAATGATAAATTCGAAACTTTTGCCACGTCGGCTGGTAGAGTTTTTTTTTTTTTTTCTAATTTCAATCAGCAGAAATGAAAACTTTGCCCAACATTGCGGCTCGTTATTTTAGCATGGACTTGCGAAACTTTGGTCCACGGTGTCGAATGCTGCATATACACGACCGAATCCAAAAACATCAATAACTACAAATTCGCTAATACGGTATTTTAATGTTGAACTTTTTACAACTATTAAAATACAATTTTTTTTATACATACGCTGTATTTACGTTAATTGCTAAAAAAATGTCTTTTCACCTTATCCTATTAAGTCGAAGCCTCGATATTGAATTCAGCCCCCCCCCCTTCCCCACACCGTCAATCCCCACCCACTCCTCACAATCCTCCCAATCCTTCTCAAATTACTCGAGAATCACGGAATATTCTTCTCTCTCTCTCTCTCTCTCTCTCTCTCTCTCTCTCTCGTTTTTTGTCCTTCCCCTCCTTCTTTTTTTCCTCCTTCTTTTTGCGCACCCTCGCGCCTTTAACCGTACGGAAGTTAGAAATTGAAAAATATAAAAAAAATTACTTTCACAAATGTGTAGGATAAACGGTTACTTTGGGCATTGAGTTATTAAAAGTAACGAAAGCTAATTTAGGAAAAGATGCATGAAAACATACGAATTTCACAGCAAAAAGAAAAAGCCTCAACTGCTATTTCAATAGGCAATTTTACTTAAATACGGACTCCATGTCTACCGAACTTTTCCAAAAGTTGAAACCGAAAAAATTAATATACACACGCCTGTTAGGTTAACAAGCGGAATTTCTCCCGGCAAGTAGGCCAACAGCTTGCACGCTCAGTTTTAATTATAATGCATAAAAATCAAAAATTATTGTCCTAATTAGCAACAAAAATAGCGCACAACTACCTGGAGCTGGTTTCTTTATCGAGTGCCGGCCAGTTTAGAAGAATTATAATGCAGAATGTGGCAGATAGAGGAGGAGTAAAAAAGCACGGCTCGGGGCGTAAAAAATGCGGGCGTCGGTCGAGAGTGACTCGACTGGTCATTATACCGCTATCGCACGTACTGCACCGGATACAATGCAACGAGACTGCGAGCAGTACTCACCCGGCCATTCCGCCGGCTCCCGGCTTTTCGAATTAAGAAAAGAAGCCTCGCCAGGAGTCGACGTCCTAACGGCCAAAGTCACAAACTGGCAGCGTCACTCGAGCGAATGCGCGAGCTCGAGACGTCATTACGGCCGATCCAGCTTGGGCCCCGCGGCCTAATTCCCCCCGGCGATTGGCGCGAGGCGCAAGATATT